TGCTGCGCCAGTGCTCTAAGCAGTTGCATTAAGCAGCCCTTCACCCTCTAGGAGACGGGGGCGTGAATCATCAGCCACATGCGTTCCTTTGCATAGACACGGAAAGCCGCGTGCTTTCCAAAACACCACACACTTCGCACAAATAAAGCATAGTGCGTATCTCTGCCTGTCCCGTCTCCTGTCCAGGGGCCGTGTTCTCAAGAACACTGTTCTCGTGTCCATCCAAAGGCTAAGGTAAACGTCCACATCACAGGACAGTCATTGCTCTCCTGGAAACAAGACGTGCGCTCTCATCTCTAGCCTGTAAATTTCCCCAAAGTAGACCGGGCAGACCAAGAAAAAGTTCAAAGTGGCTGCGGGAAGATGCCTTGACCTTGGCTGTATTAAAGAGGGCAGGGTAGGCTCCTCTGACCCCCGAGCCCTCAGGCTGTGGCCTAGCCCTGGCTGCTGGCTGCTGGGAGAATTGGTGCTGTGTTCAGAATATGCTCTATGTCTCATTGCACTGCGGCGCTCCAAGAGCTGAGTCCGTGCGTGTGTGTAGGCCTCTTTTTGAGAACTAGGTGTGGAATCATGTTGAATTTTCATTTGTCCCAGTACTTGCCTCTCGCGTTGGAATAAAAGAGACTTTATGAGGATGATGAATGGCTATGTTGCATAAGGAAAATCCTGTTGTTTTTCTCTGTCTAATGTCCACTCACCAACTTCCAACAAGGGTCTCGGCCCTACTCTATTATGCACACTTAGCTGGCTCCCCTTTTCCTCCCAATCTTCTACATTCTATAAAATAATTTTCAGCAATACTCTTTTATCGTGTTATTTCCTGTGCAAAAATTATTCACATTTTCCTATTTCTCAGTACATCAAGGCAAGACTTTCCATAGTATCTCTGCCCAAGCTCCCTTTCCCCTCCACTTGGTCTCACCGTTCTAGTCAAATTTCCCACAATTGCCTCAACATGTATAGTCTGTACTCCTGTCAGGACAGTTCATTCATCTTCGCTCTCAAGTGCCTTTATCATTCTTCAAGAGCCAACTGACAGGGAATGTTTATTTACAACTTATGTATCTGGCACTGTACATAAAATAATGCTAACCTCACAACAGCCCTGTTTGTAGGTGAGGAAAGGGGCTCAGAGAGATGAAGTATGTTCCCCAAGACCAAATAACCAGCAATAAACTGCCCGCAGCTCATCTCACCTTCGTAAAGCATTTCTTCCCTTTTGACCTCAGCGCCTGGCCCGTGCCACTGCGATTTAGCACGTCGTGTACCGTTTTGTTTCCCAATTGCATCCTTGCTTTCCTCATCTCAATGGTAAGCATACAAGGACCGTGTAGTATCTTTACAGTGCTGGGCATACAGTAGGCGCTGAATGGATTCTTGACTGATTTTATATGTTTACTTATATTGATGCCCAGTACTAAGTGTTGGGCTATTCTAGGAGGCTTGGGACAGACTGTGGTACAGCCAGAAAAAAACATGTTTATTTGAGTAATGGAGAGAGACCTGTGACTGGCTGTGTTGAGCTTTGTTATTACTTCTACCTCTTAATTCCTCCTCTCTAGAAAATGGGCTTAGGTAGGGAATTGATAGCATCGCATGAGCCCCCCAGGCTCTATCGAGCGTGGGTAAATGCATCTTATACCCTAGAAGGATGGCAGATATTGTTCTAAGGGCAGGTCCACAATTCTTTATCTGAAAACCTTGAAGGCCTATATGCATTTTGGAAATTAGAATTTTTCAGATTTGGGGGAGTAAATATAGTGCTTATGCTAAATATTGTATAACTTCCTCTGCAGGATCTGAGTCAGCACCTGCAGTCAGACACATTAATACCTCTGCATCCCAGCAAGTGGAATACAGATGGCAGCCTTGAGTCAGGCTTTGCCACCAAATAATTTGCTGTAAAGTTTTGGTTTTCAGAGCCTTTTGGATTTCAGAAATATGGATAAGGGATTGTGAACCTGTTAGTGAGATGTATTGACTCATTTAATTTCTCAATTATT